GGGCCTTCATGTATAAAATGCAGATATCTGCTTCACTGAGCATTTTGAGGATGAAATCAAAGTGTATGTGGTGTGCCCCCCAGGCCTGGAACACAGGAAGTTCTTGGAAAAATAACGGTGACATCGATAATAATAGTACAAAGCACCATTTTGAACACTTGGCACTATGCCAGGCAAGGAGCTGAGTCTGGCTGTTTCTCAAAAGTGGGGCACACAGACGATTTTCTCACAATGTCCTTTTTAAGGGTACAGATTAGCCGACTTCAGGGATGCAGCCCAGTTACGTGCACTCTGACAAATGGTAAGGTCACTACAATTTGAGAATCATTGACTGGGAGGCATGGTTTGCAAGATGGCGAAGACCAGATGGACACTGAACTAGAGAAGGAATGGCCATTAAAGGCCCTGGACTTGGAGAAGAGTGGCCTCATGATGTGAGTCTTGGACCCACACAAATTCATCATGACCCTTTAGCGGAGGATGTTTGTGAATGAGAGAGGGATGCTGTATGAAGGGATAGTGCGTCGGTTCCAAATGAGACTTGAAGGGAGGCAATGGGGTAAGTGTCCCTGAGAATAAACCAGGTTTCGTTCCTGTCTGTGGTCCTGTTCCCATCCCATCCCATGAGGCCCAGGTGCCCCTCCACACTGCCAGGGAAGTCCACGCCGTTGCCACTTGGATTCTTAGGGCTAAGCACTCTTGGTTTGGAAGATCCGGGAGATAATACTCCCAAGGGGGGCCTGATGATTGTCCCTTCTTATGGGAACAGAATAATACAGTATATTAATAACCATTATTCCTAGGCAAAGTTAGCCAGAAGGGCATTTCTTTCTTCACGATGCTTCCTCCAGGGGAGCAGGAATATCCTACACGAACCCCCGCCTTCGAAGTTGTTTAGAGTTTCTGCTGGTCTTGTTCTTCTCTCCCTAGGAAGGTAAGTGGTGGTGTCATTTTGTTCAAAGACTTACCTGGGACTAAGGAGGTGCCAGAGTCCTTGGCTCTGGCCTTGGGAAAGTAATAAAACGACAGGAAATGCCCTCCAGCACCCGGCAGATGGCTTGGTTGGTCCCAGCAGAACCAACCATGGCTGCGCACCCCTCCCCCCACCCACCTGTCCATCAGTTGGCAACGCCAGTGAGAAAGGCTCAAAGCTTCCTGGCCACGTGAGGTTTTCCAGTTTAGGCGGAGCCGAGACTATGTGGGAGACACCCAGCTTCCCCTCAGTTTCTTAACGCTGTAGCTGAAAGAATCAAGGTGCACCACGGCGCTGAGGGGTCACCTCTCCTTCTGGGCAACGCCCAGACGCAAGCTCATATGAGCTTGTTCTTTGATCTCAAAACTCCAGGCCAAAATGCCAGGACACAAAGCTATGCGCCTTTTCTTCAGCCAAATAAAATCCACAGACAGTGTGTCTTCACAATGAAGCTTGAAACCAGTCAAGCACTTTATTTAAAAAAAAAAAAGTCTAAAGGTAAGTATATAGTCTATGCGTGCTACAGCTAATTGTTCACCACCCCGCTCACATTATATATCCTCATGTATTTTGTGTTCAAAGGAAATAAAAACCACCACCAGAATTCATCTGTTTGCCGAGAGGCTGTGAGGAGCGCTGGGGATCCAGAGATCGCCAGCATCATCTCATGAGCAGGCACGAGGTGGCAGAGCCATGCTGTCCAAGCCCACTGTCTCCGGAGGGAGGCAAGAGGCGACCTACTTACTCGGCGGCTCCCTGAAGCAGGACATGTGGGTTGTAGCTACGGTGACCATAGTTTCTCGCCGCCCCGGCGAGGGCGAAGGGGGTGCTATTGACAGTGACGTGGGCACAAAGGCAGAGACAGGCATCCACGGGGGAAAACGGGGCGCCTGCGTTGTCTCAGACTTGCTTATTGCTCTAACCAGCCTGGTGGGGCACCTCCTTTCGTGAGTTCATATTAGACCCGAAAGGGAAGGCTACCGGCTGCGGCACTGGGTTTGGCTTCTTCAAGGAAACAGAGATCGAGCCCCCTTATCCCTGATCGAACTAGGAAGGCCTCCTTCGGAGTGAAGGGTGGAAGCGGGGAGATGGAATATTGAAGCACGACGAGGGGCTCGACACCCCGGCAGGGCAGCACCAGAAACCAGACGTCGCCCCACAGAACCGGGCAGTCACATCTGTGGGAAAGGTCCTGGGTGGGTGGTTTACAGGTGGGCAAGGACTGTGGAGCCTCCTGGTTTTAATTCTGCAGAAACACAGCTCCGTCTGCAAGGCCAGCACCTTAGCCAGGCTAGGAGCAATGCCTCCGGGCTAAGGGGGAGGCACGCTGCACCCCTCAGGGCTCAGCGTGAACCAGTCAGCATTCAGGCCGCGACCTGACACTAGGTAATCTTTGGTCTATGGCGTGGTATGGCTGTTTGCTGCATAAGCCCTGAAGGACGGGCCTGGACAGCCGAGGGGGGACAAGACTGCCCACCGTCACAGTCCAAAGAGAAGGGCAGGACCTCCCAGGGAGGAGCCTGACCCGACACTTAGAGACTCGGTGCAATAAAAGGATGGGAACCAAACCATGAACGTTCTTGTTCTTGATGATGTCGTGTTGCCAGCTATTCGCGGGCAGGAGCAATTCCTTCTTTATCTCAGTCAACGCCGGGCACTTTGTACAGGCTGAACAAACACGAGACGACGGTCCATCCCTGAGCCAAGGTCCTTGCAGATGCCGGGGAGATTTAGCACCTGCCCTCGAATGTGGCAAGTTTGTTTCCTTCCATTCCACGTGGTAATGAAATCCCCAGTGGGCTCAGAAATGTTTTAAGGCCTAGAACTCTACCTAAGAAATCGATTGCGTGGCCAGGTCCGTGGCGGAGGCTCATACACTGACTGCTGGAAGCCAGGTCTGGGCTCTGGCGATTCCTCACTAGGGCAGGGCATTCGAAGTGGTGTGAGCTGGGGTTCAGCTCTCCTCAAGTCTCAACCTGGGACAAGGACCTGAAGCCATCGAATGGCAAAGGAGTTTTAAGCTACACATTTGAGCGAAGGCCTATTTTATCGAGTGGTGGTCCTAAAACTCAGATTTCCCAAAGATTTGGTGACACCGCAAGCTGACGCCACAAGATGTGAGATAAAACTGTCATCGCAAGGAAATAAGCAGGGCTGAGGAAAGGGACGAGCCTCACCTTCGCCCGCCTTTCAGACTGGGGTTCGCCTGAGACCCTCCCTGGATTCGAGTCTCAGCTTAGTCACGATTTAGGTAAAGCTGGGCATGGGGCCTCACCCCAATCCTCGAGTCTCTCGGTAGAGGTGGGGGTCGACCCCACGCACCTCGCAGGGCTGCTGTGAGGGCCCAGCTGAAGGAGGGAGCGAGTTTTGCAAATGCTCTATCGGTTGCCTACAGAATAGTGGCCACAGTTCCAGATGGTATAAACCTAAGTCCCCAGGCAAGGACGCCTAGGGAGAGCCACTGCCACGAAGACCCCCCACTTCCAGGGGCCTGGGGAAGGGCCCACCACTGTGGCAAAAGGAGCTTGGGAGGAGTCCTCAGGGCACAAGTGACAGAAAGAAATGTAGCTTCAGTACCTTCAGTTCCTGTCAGAATAATAATAATAAAGAGACAAATTTTTCATCTGCAGGAAAATATCCTGCCCAGAGAAAGGCAGAACCAATCCACTCCCACCGGGAATGGGGTCGAAGACAAACCCCTTGGGTGGAATCAGCAAACAAAAATCACGGCCAGGCCGGGAGCCTCGTGCAGCCGGGTGTACCCAGCACCCAGCACCAAATACTTGCAAAGGTCAATGAAAGCAGAAAGTGAATCAGAATGAAAAAATGTAGAGTTTTGTCTTTTGAAATGCAGTCAAATCCTACACAACAGCTTCACAAAAGCGGTTTAAACCAAAGTGGATCAACAACTCAGTTAGACAGGCCATGGGGCCTTGTCTCACGTGAGCGGGCTGTGAAGACGTGGGTGTCCCCCCCACCCCCAGGTTCTGGGCACAGGGACATGGGGCAGGCGGGTGCTGTAAGAAGCGCCTCAGGGCCCGGCCCCGAGCTCCTTGGGGACAGGACTTACGGATTGGCTGAAGGAAAGACATGCTACTGGGGTCTGAGGGAGAAAAGGTCTTCTGCAGAAACACCCAGAGCCCAAGGCATAGGAGTGGCAGGGGACGGCAGAAGACGGCTGCCTGCATCTCGACCTTTGGCACTGCATGTAGACAGGGAGCCTCCCCAGGAGAGCTGGCCTTGCGGTTCCAAAAGCATGGCAGCCAAGGAGCACTCTGAATCTGAGATTCTGGGGCAAGACGAGGCTACTGCCTCTTCTCTTGTGGGTACGGGGGGCCTGCCCTCAGACCCCCCCAGGCAGCCTGGGTCACAGGGAAGAGCTCTGGACTTGGAGCCAGAAACCCTGGGTCCTGGGTCCGCTCTGTGGCTGTGACTCTACGTGAACCACCTCGTCGGAATGGGTGGGAGGGCTGCCCTGGGCTCCCCCGGGCTCCCCCGAGCGAGACGACAGAGAGCAGAGAGGGAGCAGGCAGGGAGATGAAGAAAAACACTGCAAAGGCCAGAGCGAGACAAGCAGCAGCAGAGAGGGACAGGCCGTCTGCCTGGCCTGGGTGCCTGTCTCCCGGAGAGCCTATTGCTTGCTACGCGCTACGCTCAGTTTGGTGGAGATATATGGTTGCTGGTCCTTGAGCCACCAGGGCCTTTCGAGGCTGGCCCGTGAGGCCGCCTCAGCTCCTTTTGCTCCACAAGCTCTATCCCTCAGTGAGGACACAGCACAGGAGCCAAAGCCAGGGCCCTGGCGCCAAACCGGCGTCCCCCCTCCCCGGCACGCCCCCCTCCCGCCCCCCGTCTGCCTCTGGCAGGGCGCAGACGTGGAAGTCAGGCTGGCCTGGATCCCAGCCCTCTTCCCTCCTCTTCCCAGTGCGCCTGGGCACACCGAGCCCAAGTTTCCTCATCTATGAAATGGGTATAATACTGCAAGAGACGGCGGGTGTGAGGATGACACATGAACGTAAAGTGCCGTGTACAGAGTTTGGCACCTACTTACTAGCTACTTGGCAAAGGGGTGCCCGCAAAGGGGCGGGGCTTGTGAACAGTCTCCTTTCACAAACAAGCATTGACATTCTTGCTCTGGGTAGACAGGGGTGAAAGGCCCCGAGGCGGGGCAGGGAGGGATCGGAGCCCGGGCAGGAAGTGAAGCATGTTCCAGGAACCACCCCTATAGGACCGATCGAGATCCCAAGACAGAAGGTGGGGGGGTGGGATGGCCCAGTGGACGACCTCCAGGCCCATTCCCGGGGCAGCTGCATCTGGTCAAACCTGAGAGGCCCATGGGCCTGAGGCCTCGGGGAAAGGACACTCCCGTGGGACTGGCCCGGAGCCCACTTCTACGGGGTGAAGTCCTTTCTGGCATTTTAGCAACTGGGTGAACAAAGTCACTGGGCTTTTAGAGACATGGAGAAGTTGGAGCAAGCCGTCACGGACTGGGTGGGGCGCCAGGGGGGCTGCCCCTTACTATGCTGGCTCCAAGCCATGAAAAACCCTTCTGCAGTTTCTCCAGATGGTGAATTCTGGTCCTGGAGGCCTTGGGGAGTCATGGTACCGCTGCTGGGTGGCAATGCCACTGTCCTTAAGGCAGGGATGCTGAGAAGAGAGAAAACAAGCATGTGGCCTCTGAGCCTCCAGGGGCTGCTGCGGCAGGGGGAGGGCTGACCCCACCCATGGGTGAGAAGAAACCACAGTTCTCTAGAGTCTTCCTCCCTCTGAAGCTGTGTGGAGAATGATAAATTAAGAGGCATATTAAATATGTGGGTAAAGCCAGCAGGGATGCGCAGGACCTCCGGACAGGGAGGGAGGAGGCTAGGGCTTCTTTCTGAGATAGTTGGAAGGGATCCACCCCTCCCAGGAGGGGGCCCCGCTGAGGACCTGGCAGAACCACCAGCCACTGCTGTTTTTCTCCCGGACCTCGAACACTGTCCCCTGCTGGAAGCTGCTGGTATCTTCGTCTCCTTCAAAGTTGGCCACGGCCACATACAGGTCCTTTGGGTTGTCAGCACTGGGGGAGGGGGCTGCAGCGACTTTCTCTCTGTTTTCTCCACTCTTGCCCGCCATCCGTGGCCCCAGCCCCCCTCTGCCTCGAATGTCATCTTGGACCCCCGAGGAGTTGGAGAGAAAAGGTCTGGCTTTGGGAGGGACTAGCAACGCCCGGCCTGGGGCAGGAGATGCTTTGCCTTCACTGGTGTCCCGCTGGGACCCTCTGGCCTCTGGGAGGGGCCCTTTGCCCTCTCTGGCCTCCAGGAGGGGCCCTTTGCCCTCTCTGGCCTCCAGGAGGGGCCCTTTGCCCTCTCTGGCCTCTGGGAGGGGCCCTCTGGCCTCTGAGAGGGGCCTGGATGAAGTTTTCTTGGGTGGGGGTGGTCTCCGGGGCGGGACCACAGGTCTCTGCTGGGGAGCCTCTTGGAGAGGCATGGGTGCATTCTTAGGCACTGGATCTGCGGTCTTGGCTGGCTTCAGAGGGGCTCTGCAGGACATCTCCTTCAGGCCGAGCCCATCCTGTTTGCCCGTCCTGTCCTGGGGGCGGCCAGGCCCCTCCCCTGGGAGGAAGCTGCGGCTGAAGACCATGTCTTGGCCCCCAGCAGCCTGGTGGCTGTCTCCATCCAACGAGGGCTTCTCCTGGGACTTGGCAGGCCTGAGCTTGCTCCTGAGGTTGCAGATGTCCACTTGGTCTTCACCCTGAGGTGGCTCTGTCCTGGGGGAAGGAGCTGGTTTGGGCCTAACCTGAGGTTTGGACTTCACGAACGGATTCTGGGGATTGGCATCCGGCTTCTCCTCCGGTGGGTCGGCTTTGGATTTGGAGATGGGCCGGAGGTGGGGCTTCTTCACTTCCTTGGCCAACACTTTGTGGCCACACTCCAGCCCCATCTCGTTTTTCAGTTGGAACAACTTGCTTTTGTCAGGTTTGGGCTCTGGCCTCCTGCCGTTCCAGGCCGGGGGGCTGTGTTTAGCTGGAATCATCGGCAGAATCATGCCAGGGGGCTTGGGCGAGGAGCCCCTGAGCTGCTCCAGCCTCTGCCGCTCCCTCTCCTGCAGCTCCCCTTCCGACTTGATGATGGATTCTTTCCGGGGAGGGAGGCTGGGCTTCTCCTCCAGGTCAGGGTCCGAGATCTCCTCGTAGCCCGCGCACGACGACAGGTCTGAAGACGCCTTCCTCAGGCCCTCCTTCCCGCCTTTCCAGTCTTTGGACCACTGCATCCCAGAGTCCACGGCGCCATGTGGTGCATCGGGCAGGGGCCGAGAGGGGCCAGTGGCTTCACCGCCCGTGCTGTTTTCCATCACGGCTGCCTCCCCCAGCCGGAGCTGGGTCACCTCGTTAGGCAAGGGAGCCAGAAAGTTGGGTCTCGAGGCATTGCTGGTCTTCTTATACTTGTCGATGAAAGTTGCTGGGGCCCATCCTTCTTTATCTTCAATCTGAATATACCACCAGCCACTCAGGTTCTTCTCGATCACCTGGAAGGGAGAACAGAGGAAAGCACTCAGTAGGTATGGTCCTAGGGCCACTGGGCCAGTACAGTCTGGGAGACCCGCATGTACCTTGAATTCTAGAGGCAGAGACTGGCACTCAGCCAATTGCCAGATGACATGTATGGGGACCATCTCAGACTTTACCAGGTATCAGGAACATCTCACTGGGGAGCAGGTTCTTGTCTAACTCTGGATTCCCTCAGAAGTAGTCCCTGACACAGGGACTGGGGTACAGTTAGTTAATTTGAGAGGTGATTTCAGCAAGTACGAGTGAGGGAATGGGGAACATGAGAGCCTATCATGAGCAGTTTACTGCTCTGGGTCCCCCAGGAACCCCCCAAGAGACCACGCAGAATCAGACTGTCCCACTAGGGGTGGGGCCATTGACCTCCTGACTCCTAGTCCCACCTCCCAGGGCATCAACCCTTCCCTCTCTGGGCAGTGTCCTCGGGATGTGGGAAGCTGTCCCCTTTGGGGACCTGTGTGCAGCTGCAGGTCAGCCCAGGCGGGTCAGGATGTAGGGCGGGCCTTACATCCTGCTACATCCTGTAGTATCTGCTACAATTCTAAAGAAGCACAAGGCGAAACCCATATACAGCCCAGACTGGCCTTGGTCACTGCTCCTTTGGTTGGGTACCAGATGAAGTGGCTGGCTGGCCATGCTGGATGAAAAATGCGTATCCTTAAACACGGGAACCACACTCGGCTCACGTTTAGATCTAGGAGAACTGATGTTGAAATGGTGGATGGAATCACCCATGATATCTAAGACCTTATGTTACCTGTTGTCTTCTTGTTCAGCACCATAGGTCTAGATTCGCATAGGTGAAAGTATGTAAGACTATGGGCTGAACAACCGTCTCCCCAAAATTCACATGTCAAAGTCCTCACCTTAGAATGTGACTATTAACTACAGTGGGCCCTCATTCTATACGTCTGATGTCCTTATCAGAGATTAGGACACAAGGAAACATGCCAAATGAGGGACAACCATGTGAGACGCAGTGAGAAGATGGCCATCTGCAGGCGAAAAGCAGAAACCAGCCCTGCCAACACTATGACCTTGGACTTCCAGGCTCCAGAACTGCGAGGAAATGAATCCCTGTTGTTTAAACCACTGAGTCTCTGGCATTTCGTGATGGCAGCCGGGCTAACTAATACTTGCCATTCTCTGGCAGGCTCTGTGCATAGGAGATCCTGCAACGTCCTTATGAGATGGGGATCATCACCCCATTTTAAAGATGCAGAACTGAGGCTCTAGAGCCTAAGCCTTCCCCACTCTCTGACCCTGCTTGAGGAGAAGCTGTGCCTGGGGTGAGAAAATGCTGGGGGCAGAAAGGGCCACAGGCACGGTTCTGCCGCTGTGCCCTGTGCCCAGCTCACAGAGGAATGGCAGCCGCAGACCCAGCGCAGCGGGCAGAGGCTGGGCTCAGGGGCCCGCAGTCCTGGTCTCTAGTTCTGGCTTCACTGCTTGCTGCCTGAATGGTCCAGCTACATGTTTGTGATTCCACACCACGAAAACCAGAATGGCCAGAACAGTAAGACCCACGGGCAGGTTTTCATGGCGGCCACATACGCTAATGCATAAAACAGCAAATTATAGTGGAGATCACCGAGAGCAGGGTGCATGTGACAGGCATACAGTTGGGTCCCACTCAACTGTCTCCAGGAAAGGGCACTGATAAATGTAAAGTCTTCACACGAGGGTGACCAGCATCCTGCCAGCACTTGGCAACTCTGGCTAACAACCGAAGGTTATTCTGGGCCTACAAGTCATCGTCGGCACAGCCGTGAATTCAACAACTCTAAGTGTGTACAATAATCAGAATGAAATGTACCAATGGAGATCTGCTAAGCTTACAGTCTATGCAAAGCACTACAGCAGAGGCTCTAAACATTTGTGTTCTTAGTCACAATTTATGGGAGTTTTCATTGACTAGAAAGAAGCCAAGAGCTATTATGAATAAAATAATCAAATGCAAAGTCACAGGAATGGGGGGTGGGGTGGGAGAAAAGAGCCTGAGCTTTAAGACCAGAGAGACCTGGGTTCAAATCCCAGCTCCACCACTTACTAGCCATGTAACCTCGGGCAATTTACCTGACTTTCTTTGTCTCAGGTACATCTATAAAATGGGCTGAATATACCGACCTCTCGGGACTTCTGTGAAGGTTAATTACCAAGTATGTGAGGTACTTGACACAGAGTGGTGCCAATATCACCACCATCATTAAAACATGTTTTGAAGATACTTAGGCCACGCAAGAAATTAAGGCGTTCCTAACACTTCCATTGCTAAAACACTAGGGTTAATGAGTTCTGAAGGCTAACACGGTGTTGAAATGAACCAGGGAGAAGAGGAAAACAGAGGATGCAGAATTTATCATAAGAATACTCGGTTAAGCCAAAAACTTTATATAATGTTATTAACCAATAGTATCGCAATAAGTTGGGGAAAAAAAAAAAAAAAAAAGAATCACAGGTAGGCAGAGGGAACCAGGCCCACTCACCTCGACTTTCAGGCCCGCCTGGAAGCTGATGCCATCGGGGATGGTCGTCTGGAATTCGGCGATGGTGTAATACTCTTCCTCCACTTGGGGTGGGATGGGAGGCTTGGGCAGGTTGAGACCTCGAGGCTGGAACAATTAAACACGGTGCTAAGTCCAACGGAAGTCCATTCCTATGCCGCTAAAAGGGTGTGTGGGGAGACTGAGGTATACGATCACCCTCAAGGGGGCACTGGTGGATCCATGGGACAAAACAAAAAGGACCTCTCCTGTCATCATCTCCTAGGTGGGTCATTGGCCCTTCAGCTTTAGAGCCACGAGAAGAGACACAGGACATTTGTCTACACCACGAAAATGAGGCAAGACAATATTCTCTGGTTGTAAAAGCGAGGGTTGTGGAAAGAATGTAAGTTTGGAAGTCAGACTCATGTGGGTTGGAAATACCGGTTTTGTGTACGGCTGTGGGCAAATCGCATCCCCTTCTGGAGCCCCCGTTTCCTCTCCTGCAGAACAGGTCTACCTGGTGGAGTCGCTGTGAGCATCCCGTAAGTTAACGCGGGAAAGCGCCCAGCACAAGGCATAGCGCCCAACAGGTGCTCAGTAAATGGCGGACATTAAGAAAACAAGGCCCATTTTTCCATGCATTGGTTAGAAAGGTACCTGAAGAATTAAAAATGGAGTATGAAAATAAAACAGCAGAATGGAACCACCAACGGCCTTTGTGCTTCACCCCAGCTTTGGTTTCAAGTTCCCTCATTTGAGAAGACTGACCTAAGACAAAGGGGAGGGGGCGCGGGAAGCAGAGGGCACGTCCCGAGGCTTCACTGACACAAAGTCGCGGGCAGCTTGTTTCGCCTCCCTGGACCTCAGTCCTTCCTTCCACCTGTTAACGGGACTAGCACTAATCCAGCCTGCTCCACGAGGCCGCCGTGTGCACAGGAAGGGAGCATCTTTGGAGGGGGCGAGGTACGTGTGAGGGGCCAGTCTCAGGTCAGGGCCGGCTCCCCAGTAGCGAGGGTCCACTTACTATGGTCATATCCCGGCGAGGAGGGGGTCTCTGCCTCATCTTGGGCGATCCTATAAAAAGACGAGATCTCATTTCATGTGCACACAGAATTCCGGAGACAAAATTCCTGAGGGAGACACCAGGAGAGAGCCATTCTCTCCCGCACGGGGTTGGGCAAAGTGCTCCACACAGGCACGTGGAGAAGCGCCTGTGAGAAGCGCCTGATAGCAAGGGGCTGGTCAGACGTGGCTCGGGGCGGCCGTGAGCTGGAGTGAAGGAAAGCTTTCCAGCTGGGGTCCGAGGGTGGGCTTCAGAATAACGCGGAGGGGGGTCGCGACAAGTTATTTGACTCTTTGAGCCCCAAGGCCCTCATCTGTAAAAAGGGGATACTGCCTGCCTCCCGGGGCAGAGGTGGAGATGAAAGTAAACAATACGTGTGAGGCTCCTGGCATGCCGTCAATGTCACCACTCCTGGCTTTGTGCTCTAGAACAGACCCGCAGGAAACAAAATAAACGGAACCAAACAAAGTTGGGCTGGTGACTTCAGGGGTGGAGTCAGGGTGCCCTCGCTTTGGGTCTCAGGAGGAGGATGGCTTTGCAGTGGTCCAAGGCTCCTGGATAAAGGCAGAATATTGCGGAAGGCACCTCATGTGTTTGTTGCCAGAGCTGGTTTAGCACGGGTCTACACAGAGGGGTAGTTTGGCAGTTGGAGTGTGGAGATGTTAATCTCTTAAACAACCATTTCCCCTGTCTTCTATTAGAATAAATAGCAATAGAGTTTTAGCCAGACATTTAGCTGCCTCTACAAAGACTACATCTCCCAGACTCCCTTGCAATTAGGTATTACCACGTGAGTAAATTCTGGGATGTGAGAGACTGGGAAGAGTGTAGCTTCTGAGTCGGGTCCTCCACTTCTCGCTGCCTCCTTTTCATTGGCTGGACTAGTGGTGAGCCATCCCAGACTAGGTGGAGGAGGGTGACACACGACAGAGGCAGCGTAGCAAGGCTCTTGACTGCATGCAGTTGCCATAGCAGTCCTGGACACATATCTGAACTGCTTTGTGAGAAAGAAAGAAACATCTAAAGTATCTGAGCCACTATTATTGGTTGTATGTATGTGGTTGGGTGGGCAGGAGTGTCTTTGCTTGAGTATCTGAACCTATCCTAACAAATACATGGGGTTTCAAATTTTCATTCACTCCTCTAAATTAATGAGAATCCTCCTGTGCTCTTGGCCGTGACAAATTAGAATCACAGAAACTAGGGGCTGGAGAGAAGCCTGCTGTAGCTTGTCAGTACTTTCTCAGAGCAGCTAAGCAGAGAATGAGACGCTCAGAAAGTTCATGGACTATAAACAGCCGAATAAGCCCAGCCAGGAGCAAGTGACTTCACCTTGTGGCTAACGGGAAGTCCCTTCCCAGCAGAGATCTCTTCCGCCCCTAACTGCAGGACAGGACCACGTGCTGGAGGCTGGAGTCCCAGGTATGCAGCAGACAACAATGAACCCTACTCTCAGCTGTGTTGGTAACATTAAATGATAAAACAGATAACGGGAAAGCTTTGAAAAGCAAGATGGGTAAAAGAACTGCTGTTGAAATACACCCAACATCGGACCAACTTCTTCCTCTGGCTCAGAAATGAGGTCATGCAGAGAGAGCTCTGGCACTGGAGTCAGGTGGGCCTGCGTTCAAGTCCTGGCCCCACTGTTCACTAGCTGGGTGGCCTTGGACAAATCCCCTCATCTTTCTGCTTCCTAATCTGTAAAACGAAAGTAACAAGTCCCCCAGAGGTGGTTACGAGGAGTCGATGAGACCGACCGTAGAGTCCTGGCACACAGTAGGGGCTTGGGCAGCAGTTGCTATCATGACCATCACGAGGTGGTGGGAATGACGTGGTGTGGAGTAGGACAGCCAGCCTCTGCACTCAGGTTCTGCCACTTGCTGGCTGAATGATCTGGAACAAGTGCCCGAGGGCTTCTGAGCCTCTGTTTTCTTACCCACGGGACGGGGGGAGGGGACAGCAGGGCTGCTGTGAGGATGAGGGACAGTATGCGAGGTGCACTGAACACAGAGCCTGGTGCACAGTACGTAGGCCTGGCCTCCGGGAGCTCAGCTGGGCATCACTCACTCTGCTTGACGTCACCATCAGGTGCTGGGCGGCCCTCGAACCGGCCGTCCCTCTGGTTGTTGAGCAGCTCCTTCTCCCTGCCCACCAAGTTCGGCTGCCGGGAGACTCCATCCAGGTCGAGGACGCCTGTGTGGGCAGATGAGCCAGGGCCCGGCTTCGGGGGTACGGGCTCCCCGCTGCTCTTCTTCAGGTACGAGGCTGGGGCCCAGCCCTCTTTGCCCTGGTACCTGGGAGGAGGAGGCAGGATGCTGGTCAGGCTGCTCTGCCAGGCGCACGGGAAGAAGCTGCGATCCTGCTGTGCATCACACGATGGGTCACAAGGGCCCAAGGCCAGAGGCAGGCATGCCGCTCGCTGCCTCCGGACGAACCCTAAGCGCTCAGAGCTTGGCATTCGAGGCTTTTCCAGCCTGGACTCTGCCTGCCTCCCAGCCTCATCTCTCACAGGAACCCCACGTCCCGCCCACCCCACGTGGCCTGCAGCCTCCCAAACGCACCGCCACCATCTTCCAACCTCGATGGGCCTGCTTTTGGGGACCCTCTGCCTGGAAAGCCCCTTCCCCCTCTGCTTCCTGCTTCTCTTCCCCGGCTCTGCTTAATACCATCTCCTCTCTCAAGCCTTTCCTGAGCTGCGGAGAATGAAGCCCTCACTGCACGGTATCCGCTGTCACCCGCACATGCCACAATCCCAGGACCTACGACACGACATCTGCCAGTGGCAGTCAGGATACAAGCTCTGGGGCAGGGCCCGCGACTGAGCCACCTCTGTGTGTCAAAGGTCTCGGTGCCCATGAAGTGAATGAAAAAATAAAAGGACAAATGGACTGACATACGGGCCTGGCAAGGGCGGGCAGCCTCTGCCACAGCCGCTGCAGTGGTGAGTGGGCTCTGGGGTGAGAAAGGTACAGGTTCAAATCCTGGTTCTGTCACTTTCTAGGTACAGTCAGACCCTCAGATAACTGCAGCCCTCGCTGACACCCTACTGCAATCTCCTGAAGGACCCAGAGCCGATGAAGCCACCTTCAAATTCCAGAGCCACTGGGTTTGGGGATAATTTATGCAGCAGGATAGTGTACCTACTCAAGCTACGTTAGGTATCAGCATGGTTACCCCTTCGCACCTTAGTTCTGAAGGTCCCCCTCCTCAGGAAGCCTTCCTGACCCCCCGGTCCCGGAAGTCCCTCTTCTGTGCTCCAAACCCACCCTGTGTACCTCGCTGACCCACCGTTCCCTGCCCTGGCCCGTCATTGCGTATGAGTCTGTCCTCAGTGCCTGCTGGTGTGAACCTGTGTCTTTCTCACTGTTGACCCCCTCAGCTCCCGGAACAGGACCTGGCCCAGGACAGATTCTTGGTGTGCGTTGCGTGAATGAATAAAGCATCACACGCTCAGCCCCATGTGAGTAGCCCTGACATCCTGCCTCACACCATAGCGCAGACACCGGGTCACGGGGACCCCAGACTTCCTCCCTGGCCCTCATTTCCTACAGTCGCAGCCTGTCTACTGGGGTGAGCGAGGGGGTTCCCAGAAGTTTCATTACTAAACCTGGGAAAGTCTCGGGCAGACCAGCACGAGTTGGCCACCCTCCCTGCCTGTGGGTTTCAGACTCCATCACGCAGGTGAAGGAGCTGTGACAGTGTCTGAAATGCCTTCACTACTGGACCCTGAGACAGGAGGGTAAGTGGTTGGCTCTAGGATGAGGTCCAGGCCCTGCGGGGTTACGCATCGTAACTGGTCTCAGAGAAGGGCTGGATGGGGAAATCACGCACAGGGCTGCTCCGCCTCCGCTCACTTCTTACGAGAAACATCTGGAGGTGGAGGCCGGTCTTGCTCAACAGTTACTGCTATCTGTGGTTCGCTGTGTTTGGAGAAGATTTTGCTTATTATGGATTTTTAGAGAAGGCTCTAAGCCAAACCGCACAGAGGAGAAGCAGCCTTTCAGGGCTCGGGCTGAAACCTCACCCCTTCCGCAATGGCTTACAGAGCTCTGTGCAGCTGGAGCACACATGACCTGAAACCCGCCCAGCTACGGCAGGTACCTGATCTTCCACCAGCCTTCCAGGTTCTTCTGGATGACCTCCACCACGACCCCTCTCTCCAAATTCATTTCATCCTGATCACGAGCGGTGTACGGGTAGATGACCGTGTACTTCTCCTCTGCGGGGACAAAGGGATGTGGGAATAAATTGAGGAAACAGAGTTCAAGGACGCTGACAGCCCCAGGATGCTGACGGCCGAGGCTGTGTGGTCCATGAGATGCCCTGGCTGATCGGAGGGAAGGATCTCCTCCAGAAATTTCTGTGCTCCTCCGGGCCCTCACTTAGCCCTGGACGCCAACCCTACACAAGCAGCAACAGGACGAAGGGCAGGTTCCCATCCCTCTGACACGCCTCAGCGTCATGCATGCATCCTCATCTTCCTTCAATCTGTGCCTTCAAGGTCACCTTCCTTGACCTTGCCTTCTGCGACAGTCAGACTCATAGCATCCTCATCCCCCTTACCCAGGTTTACTTAGCCCCCACGACAGGAATTCTGTCCGAACGCACCCTACACTTATTTATTGTGTTTCCGGTTTGTCTCTCTGGAATGAGCTCCCTGAAGGCAGGGATTTGCATCTGTCTCCAGCACTGGGAACGGTACTGGGAATACTAAGTACCTGTTTAATAAATGAACAAGTCCTGGGGGCCAGGTGGGAGCCACCTCACTCACATGAGAGGAGGTTAAAATCTCCGGGCTCCTCCGCAGTTCTTGCTGGTGGGGGGTTCAGGGATGAGCTGGATTTGGCAGCACATGGCGTCAGGTTAAAAATCGCTGCCAAGGACACAGCTAGAAGTTTTCATTACCTAGCTGGTAACTAATCTTTATTTTTCATTAATTATTTCCAAGGCCCTGGATCCAAGCATTCCTAAAGCTCAAATTTATTTTTCAAATTAATTTTTATCAAGAAATAATTGAACACTGCATTATTTTTAGGTGTGCAATATAATGATTTTATATGTGTGTGTATATATATATATCACAAAATGATCTCCTGCTTCGATTTCCATTAATATCACTGGGGTGCCTTCCCTTTCCCTCTCTCTGGTCTCTGCTCCCTCCCCCAAAGCCAGGGGACAATCCTTATGGCCTCACCACCTCCTAGAGAACTGCTTCCAGCTATGTCCAGCCTGGGCTCAGCTGAGAGGGTTGCTCATTGTCACACTCAGGCAGGGCCCTCCTGGGAGCAGGACAATAACTCCCATCCCAACACGGCCAGCAGTGACTGCTCAGCCTGAGAGCAGACGAGTGTCCCAGGGGAGCCCAGAGGGCTTTCCTGTTTTGGTTACATCCTGGCCCCCGGGAGTGACCGAGTCAGCTGTGGGCTGGTGTGGATGCTCAGTGTTGGGGCTGACTCTCTCTCTTTAGGAAAACACCACAGGCTCTCTGTGGCCTGCCCAGCTGGTGCAGAGGGAGGTGGAAAACACACAGCGCATTTATTGATTGATCGATCTAGCCCACTGATCTGCTCTGTGGGGGCTGAGCTGACTCAAGTTGCACATATCCTGTGTCCAGCAGCCAGCTGTTCCCCAAGCTCACAGAGGCGACAGGGTGGGGGTGTGGGTGCTATGAAGGAGGTAGGGGATAATTCAACCTTGTGAATACACAGAGGTTCTGTTGGTTGAGAAGGGGCGCTGTTTGTATCCCGAACTAAGAACAGTCAGTCCTGCAGGCCCTGGGCTCCTGGAGCTGGCACCCTTCAGCTGATGGCACAGGGGGATTCTCCAGCTCCCAGAGGCCTCTGGGCTTCATGAGACACTCACTGATCCCTCACAAAGCTTAGGGTGGAAGACCTTGTAGGCTGAGGAGAGTGTGTGATCCTGGCCTGGCACCCCATCTGGCCACTGTAATTGGTTGGGAGATGGCACATGACTCTCGTGGGTCAGCTGGCACGAATCCTGGGTTTGTGTTAATGGAGAAACACTTTTTTGGAGGATGTTCTTGAAGCGTGCCTGGAACTACTGCTACCATGAGAGAATGCTTCTGGCAAGGTAGAGAACAGAGCAGAGAGGTGGCAAGAGTGAGTCTCAGGTCCCGGCGATGTTTTTAAGCCCCTGGATCCAGCCATGCCTGAAGCTAGCCCTACCTTGACTTTTTAGTGATAGAAGTCAATACACCTCTCTTTTCGCTGAAGCCGATTTAAAGTGGGTTTCTTTCCCTTGTAAGTCAAATGTGCCTAACAAAAGGAATGGGTCAGCATTACAGAGGCTCCCAGACTTTGTTTTTTAAACCGGGAAACTTCAGAGCCCAGGCTCCCTCCTCCCAAAGCGACATGCCACCACACGCACGGCACGGACAGGCTCAGTGTCTCGCATGCAGCAAGCACAGGCAGTGCAGAGCATGGATGCACATGCGGACACAGGGACCCGGCTCCAAACACCGAACAGGGAAGGAAAATCCGAGGTAGACACCTTGACGCCAGCTGATGGCATACAAGTCCCCCAAGGTCCGGCGGCGGCCCACGGGCCGGGGCAAAGACCAGTACCTCCATGAGGCTGGACAGGCAGCATGGGGAGGCGAAGGGCAGAAGGCAGAAGTGAGAAGAAAGCACTTTCTGTGTCTCCAGGCACAAGGGGCACTGAGCACGTGTTCTCATCTAGGAGCCATTCTTTCTGCGCCTATGCCAAACCCTGGTGGCTCAGAGGGACCGAGATCCTGAGTATTAACCTTGAACTTCAGTAAAGAGCCCTCCAGGAGACATCATTCTATTCCTGGCACGATTACAGAGGGGCACTATGAGAAGCCCTTGTGGCAGGGGGAAGGAAAATGTACAACTCCTTAGGCAAATGTGGTCTCTCTCCCATCTCCCAGCTGTGTGGCCCTGGGCAAGCGTCTCTACCTTTCTGAGCCTGTTTTCTCATCTGTAAAATGGGGATAATAACTACGCCCTTACCGAGGCAAGCCGTGGTAGTCGTCACTGTCTGAGAGCTGTGGTTTCCCTGCAGTAGACCACTGCTCCCTATCAGAGTTCACTCTGCAGTATCCCCGTGCTCAGCCAGGCCCTGCTTGGCCCTACGGACATGAACCAACAGATGCTCTACTCTGAGGGCTGTTGGCCACTAAGTACAAAACCACATACAATTATTTTGTTAACCTTGACCCTAGAAGAATTCCCCTCCTCCTCACCCTCTTTTCTGACAGATATATACTTAAGTGGCTTTGTGCTTTCTCAAAACAGTCAACTAAAAGCCCCAAATAGTCAACTCTAGGCAAGGCACAGCTGTATGTTAACAATTGTTCCGAGTTACAATTTTAGGTTCTCTGCCAAGCGCTTTGAATGTGGGATCTCATTTAATTAAGGGGGAAAAAAATCCCATGACGTAGACATCACCATTCTCATTTTTAGAGGAGGGGCTGAGTTGCAGAGAGGTTAAGTTGCTGGCCAAGTTCGCTCAGCCTGTAAGGGGTGCAGCTGAGACTCAAATTCAGGTCTGTTTGACTCCAAAACTCTTCTGTTTATTAGCTAAGATGAACTCATATTCTACTTTTAGAAATGCTTCTGCCGGGGAAGGGAGTCAGTTGAGCCTCTGGATTTCTGACATGGCAGAAGCCACCTTTTAGGACACCTGCAGGTAAAGTTCTCTGGGAAATGCAAGCGTGTGTGGGTGAGTGAAGGGGGTTCGGCCCTAATCCTGATGCCCAGTCAGGACATTAAACTGACAAGGAAAGCAGAGATCCTTACAGATGGCTTCAGATGTCTTGCAAATGAGCTGGAAGCAGCCCCAGCCTCTTGGTCATCAGAATAATTCAAGGGAGGAAAAGTGACACGTTGACAGCAAACAGGCTGGGCCCTCCTGGGGTCCCATGGAGGTGTCACGAACCCAGCTCCGGCCAGGCATACCTGAATTGGCTCCCAAAAGTCCCTAAGGGTGGGCGGGCTTGCCCATCAGCCCTGACTCCGTGGTCTGGCTTCGTGTCCACGGGCTACAGAGCCTAAGCCAGCAAGCAGCTGAGACTTGGAGGCAGAGGCCAAGGAAGAAATCGGGTGAAGAAGCCCCCACATGGGTGACAGCTAGCATAGGTCTCCCCAGAAAGCCCGAGGCTCGAGTTGTGGCCTACCTTCCTCAGGCTGCAGAGAAAACTCATCCTGCACACCATCCTGCCCTTCGAGGCAGGTTGCGGGCACCCAGCCTTGCTCTTCGGCGGTGCTGACGAACCACCATCCTGGGAAAACGAGAGAGCAGACTGGTATCAGCTGGGTCAGGCGTGAGGTCTGGGCATCGGAATATAACAACGTTTTTGGCCACGGCATGAGTCAAGGCTCAGGGTAAGGCTCGAGAGGCACTATTTTCTTGGTGAAACACAACTAGCCGTGGTCACTGGCTGCTAACTGCTAAAGAGCAGTTAAGGAGGACCCACTCCTGAGCCGGGACAGGGGAGAGAAGGGTCCCCTCGAATGGCGAGAGTGAGGAACGCAGCTACTTTCACTGAGGTGTGCGAGGCACTAATCATTTCGCTTGCTTTGTTTTGTATCATCTTCATATTACCTTACCATCCCCCCTGCACAGATGAGGAAACTGAGGCTCCACGAGGCGGCAGATGTGTCCAACTTCATACAGCTTATGGCAGAGCTGCGATGCCTACCCAGGGCTGTCTGATACTGAAGCCACTGCTCTAGTAACTTATCTGATTTTGCGTCCATTCATGTCAAGGTCAATCCAGCAGCAGATGTAACTGCTTGAGAGGCCTCTCACCCAGACTCAGGCCAGCCTTCTTTAGAAAAGGCTCTCATAGAGCTGTGCTGGGCAGAATAATGACTCGTCAAAGAGGTCCAGGTCCTCTAAATGCGGTTAAGTTATGTGGCAAAGAGGAATGGAGGCTGCGGACGGGATTACGATTGCTGGTCAGCTGACCTTCACACAGGGAGACAATCCTAGGTTATCTGGGAGGGCCAATGTCATTGCCGGGCTCCTTACATATGGGAGAGGGAGGCAGGAGAGATGTGGGAGATGTGCCGTGGCAGAGAAGCACACAGAGGTGCAACGCTGCTGGCTCTGAAGACGGAGGAAGGGGCCATCACACACACACACACACACACACGCACATGCACGTGCGTGCGCGCACACCTCGCCACCCACCCATCCATCCACTGTACTTCGCAGGTACTGCGATTTTTGCAAATTGAAGGCAAGACCCTCCACCAGCAAAAAAAAATTACATCTCCCTGAAGGCTCAGGTGATGCTTAGCACTTTTTGCAATAAAGCATTTTTCATTAAGATATGTGCATTTTTAAAGACATAACACTATTGCACATTTAACAGACTATAGTAGTGTGTAAACGTAACTTTTATACGCACTGGGAAACCAAAAAATCCACATGACTTGCTTTACTACAGTGTTTGCTTTATCATGCGGAGACAGAACCAAACCCGCACGATCTCTGAGGTCTGCCCGTACTGCACGCAGACGTGTGTGTGTGCACGCGCGTGTGCGTGTGTGCACCATTGTCAAGAAGGATTCATTCATGCCAACATGATAGAAGGGCTATCTGGGGTTTGTAAGGGGACTAGGGTCGAAGTTAGTGAAAAAAATTGATTTTAAATTTATCATTAATGTTTTAAGAAAAACGTATCCATGTATTACTTGGATAAGAAATATATAATTAAAAATAAACGCTGCCAGTTTCTTGGCCAAGCTCTGACCACCCGTCCTTTTTTCCCTGCTGGCCCCTGGACTACCAGGCTGGTCCCGACAGCCCACTCTGGCTCCTAGTTGTCTGCGATGCATCTTCCTGCCTCACTCCGGCGGGGGGGCCCAGGGGGTGGGTGCTCACTCTGGCGGGGGGCCCAGGAGGTGGGTGCTCACTCCGGCGGGGGGCCCAGGGGGTGGGTGCTCCTTTCTTTCCTCCCCACAGAGCACTCTAGCCACGCCCATGACCTGCCATACTCATTCGCAGGAATTAGAAAGTCACATGGCCTCGGGGCCAGCTGGAAGTGGTTTGGAATTCCAGCTCAGCAACCTTTTGGGAGACCTTGGGTGAGTGACCGAGTCACCTGGAGTCTTGGTTCCTTCAGCTGTGAAGCAGGGATAGCAATTCTTATGTTGAGTGATTACGGACTTCTGGTTGGCTAATCTTGACCTGCTCACAAATGGGAACGGGACTTATGTGCTGCTGGGAACAGTCTTTCCCGTATTTGCTGGACTTGAAGTAGCTATTGGGACATCACAGAGATTGGTCCACTAATATTGTTAGTCAATGTCACATTTTAGCCCCAACAAAGCCAGTGGGTTTATGTCACTTTTTCCTGGAGAGGATCCACTCAGCCCCTGCCCCCCACACTTTGCCTTCAATGGTGCCAGTGGCTGCTTTGTGGCTAAGAAAGCAAAAGGAGGGAAACCCACGTTTTTGAGCACCTACTGCGTGCCCAGCACAGGTTCAGGCACTCTCTACATATTATGTCACTTGATTCTTATAAGAGCCCTATGGAGCAGAAGTTTTCTCTATTTTGCAGATGAGAAAATTGATGGTCAGAGAGAAGGAATAACCTGGACTCCTGCGAAATGGAGAGTTCAGATAGAAACCCAGGTTATGTGACTCGACTGTACCAAATTCTGTCCCAGACCTGGCCGGTGTATGTGACCAGTGGTCCCTGCAATGGGCAGGTACACTGAAGAAACAGGCAGTGTGTCCAGTCCACACCAGAGCCCACAGCTGATGGAGCCTTCGTGAAGACTCCTGCGGTAATCAAAGAAAATCAACAGAGCGAATTTCCAGTGTGATGCTAGACCCTCTGTCTCCAGGTGCTTTGAACCCAGAAGGAATGCTCATGAAATGAGGACCTCAGAACAGACTGGTAACATCTAACCCGGCAGGATGCTGGTGAGATGTGACCAGGTGGGATATTCTAGGAGGCCATCAGCCGGATCTGTAGAAACCGACTGGCCCGGACTGGCTATTGCCTTTTCCACATGTGCAAGTGCTTCCTGTCCTGTGGGCAAGTGCTTCCTGTCCTGTGGGCTCAGTGAGAGACGTGGTCCCGGTCCTCACCTGACTCGTTCTTCTCGATGATGTCCACCATCTGCCCCACACTGAGGCTGATCTCTGAGCTCTCCTGCTTCTGGTAGTTTGCCACCACCACATACTGCTCCAGGACCATGGGGTCCACCGCGGTCAAGTCACTCCCTGTAGAGACAAAACACCATCAGATGTCACATCTGGCCACCACCCATGCGGGAAGAAGCAGGAGCTGGGGGAGGAGGGTGGATCAGAAAGACATTCCAAACAGAGAAAGAAGTTGTTACAGGACTGTCTCAAGGGTCACCTCATTCTTTCATTCACTTGCTCAGTCAACCACCCATATTTACCCAGTGCCTGTCCTGTGTAAACACTGTATTAGGGACCGGAGGTTCTGAGTTGATTAAGATGTGGCGCTTGCCCTGAAGAAGCTGACGGCTTAGTGGGGAAAGTTCATTCATTCACATCTATCTATCCACCTACTCACTCATCAGCCCTTATTCATCCATCCATCCATCATCGATCCAACCAAACATCCATTCATCTGTCCACACATCCACCAATCATTCATCTACCAAAAAGTATTCATCCATTAAGTCGTGAAGTCACCAATGATTCTCCAGACACTCTATTAGGTGCTGGGGGCAGTAAAGTGAATGACACAGATATGACTTCCAGCCTCAAGAAACCTGATTCGGTTGGGGAGACAGACACATACACGAGTATATATGATCAGTAAGTGTACTGGGAAAAAGCGTTCGTTTTCGATAGATGCATTTCTGGAAACAACCAGGATGCTGGACAAAGAATGAACAGGAAAGAGGATGCTACATTAAATGAGGTGGTCAGCGAGACCTCCCTAAGGAGGTGACATAAAGCAGAGATCTGAGAGACAAGGCGTCACGGAGAGAATGGAGAAAGAACAGAATAGGCAGACTGTGAGACGGGAAAGGGCTGGGGGCCTGCCAAGACCTGGAAGGAGGCCAGGGAGACCGAAGCCCAAAATGAGGTCAGAGCAGGCAGGGCCTGCTGGGCCAAGGCAAGGCGTCTGGGTTCTGTTAACTTTTAAGAAGGGAATGACGAGTGAAGAGATGCCTCCTTAAGAAGCTAATTCTGGCTGCCACATGGAGAATGGATTGAAGGCTGGCAAGAAAGCAAGTAGGAAACCAGATGGAGGTCAAGCTGGGAGGCAAGAGATGATGGTGGCTTTGGACCAGGGCTGGGGCAGTGGGGTAGAGGTGCTTCTGGGAGGCCATTTCCACAGGATGCAGGGTGGCTGGGTGACCCTGGAGTTGGGTGACCCTGGTTAAGTACTAAGACACATCTGGTAAACAAATGAAAAGATAGCGCAGGACATGGGTAATGTAAAGGGACATCTAAGTCCATATGCTCTAAAGAGAAGGGGACAATGCTTTTAGAGCAGCAGGCTGAATGTGATGGGAGGGTAGCCTGACATTTGTGGCCACAGACAGGGCCCTGATTTTCTGAAACCCCGGATTCAAAATATTCCCTCCTATTGTTTCCATAAGCAACAGAAATATCCAGGAAACCCCACATCTCTGTACCAAATACCCCCAGTCGTGGAGAGGTATGTGAGGGCCGGCTCACACTAAGGCGATTTTGTGCATCTTCTCCCAGCTCTCCTGGGTGGCATCTTGTCAGGCGCTTGAAATCAGCCTCTGCACCACAGAAGTTGGCAAAAGCTACAGAGCAGGGCTGCCCACCAAGAGCTGCTTGTGAAGTCTTTCCCAGCATGCCGCTGTGCTCCAGCCTCTGGCATCCAGCAGCAACACAAAAGTCCTTTGTTAGAACCAGGAGCTGTGAACTTTTGGTGTGCAAAATCAGAACAGGGCACGGTAGCCGGGTGAAGGGTCACCCCTATCTTTTCTACCAGACTGTGAGAATACTCCCTCTGCCTTGTTCACCTTTGCATTCCCTAAGGGCCTAGAATACTGTTAGGTACACAGTAGGTGCTTAATAAACATCGAACGAACCACCATTTCTGTCTTGTTCACTCAGCACTTAGTGCTGACCCTCAATGGACATTTGTGGAGTAAATGAACAAAGGAGGAGGAATGGAGACTTCTAGAAACTCTTTATTTCTGCACAATGCTCCTAGCCGGGCTGCCGACAGGATTTGGGATATCTATGAGCAGTGACACAATCAAGGAATCACGGGACTCTCTACAAACAGGGAACGAGGAGGGCAGGGAGCAGAGTTTGGGACTCTGGGTTGCCTGAGCATGTGGCCTGGGCGCTGATCCCAAGATGCACTCCAGGGCCCAGGTCTGAGTCTCGACTGTAGTTCCCTGCATTACGTGGTTCAGAAGAGAGTGCGTGGGGTTGCTTGTCCAGCATCAGTTCTTCCTGAACAGGCTGTCTTCATTTCACCCACAGCACTCAACTTATCAAAACCAGGAATG